TAAAAAAAAAACATTTTTAATCTTAACTATTTAATCAAATTTAAAAATATATATAAAATATGTAAATATAAAATAATATGTATACAAATATTATATATCATTTTGCATTTTTTATTTTATAATATATATATACACATTTATATAGCTATTACTATTACGAAATAAAAAATATAAAAATACTAAATAAAAACAAAATAAATATTACTATATTACTATAATTTTTAACACAGTAATATTACAGGATAAGAAATATTACTATATTTAATATAATAATATCACGACATAAATATATTCTATTAATATGTGATTAACTACAGAAAAATGTGTGATTAATTAGTTACTTTTTTTAATCGATTGACAGCACTAATATTACTACATTACAAAATAACAAATAATACTATAATATTTCACCGTAAAATTAAAAATTATAATTATAAAAAAAAATTATAAAAAATAATTTAATAAAAATGTTATACCAGTAAAATGTTGTAAAATATGAATACTTAATTTCAAACATCAAACGTTTATTTTGACAGAGAAAGTCAGAAGAAGATCCCAAGCTGAACTCTCACGCTCATCATGAGCTTCTCTCTGGCCTCGAGCGAAAGCACAGGATGACCTTTCAACCGCTCGCCTCCACGCTTAACCGGCAGCTTCCTCCGACCGCTGAGAGGCCATTAGACAGATGGAGCTGCGCTTTATCTGCCCTCAGGACACACAGGGGTCAGACCTGGACGCTCCTCCAGACATCATCAGACTGAACCCTGTGCAACTCACAGCTCACAGAAAACCTTGCTTACCTCGTCATGCTGTTTCACCGCAGCTACATATTTGCTTAGACTTTTAAGCGTATATTTCACTAATTCCATGACGCATTTGCATGTTCCTGGTCACATTACATTTTATTTAAAATAAAATAAGGTGTTTTATTTTGACTTTGTAGCTGGACTTTTTAGTTGTGATGGCCTCAGTCCACATTACATTCACACTGGTGTGTTACGAACTCAATTAAACTCAATTAATTAATAATAATAATAATTATTATTGTGTTTTTTGTTATATTATTGTATAGCATTTAATTTAATGTTTATATAATATACACTGTTCTATTACATTTATATTTTTATTTTGTCAATTTTATTTATTATTTTATTAATATTTTATACAACTATCATTGTTATTATTACGTTTTGTATTTTTTATTATTCAATATTACATTATTTTATATAATGTTTAATATATATTATTAACAATAATAATAATAAACACAACAATTATTATTTTATATATTTATATTATTTTATATATAATGTTTGTGTCATATATAATACCTTCCAAACAATAATAATAATAACAATAGTAATAATAATAATAATTATTATTAATATTATTACAATGATTATATATTTATACAATATTTAGATAATATATAATGTTTTTATATAATAATAATAACCATTATTATTATTATTATTTAACTCTAATTATAAAAGTGAAGACAGAAATATATTACTGTTGTAAATGACAACTGTACTTTAAAATAAAATATAAATATATATTTAATCATTATAACAATAATTATATTTTAAACTACATGTTACAGTCTTAAATTCTTAAATTTCAAACCCTTGAGCTTTTATATTGGCAGAATAGCGGTGAAATGCTGCAAAATTATGAAATTATATATATGTGACCCTGGACCACAAAACCAGTCATAAGGGTAATTTTTTTCGAAATTGAGATTTATGCATTTTTGCCCTTAACTAAGCCACATACCTTCTATGTAGATATCAGAGAACAATTTAAAATATTGTATCAGTGCATTCTATGACATCTTTAAAGTTGTCCAAATGAAGTTCTTAGCAATGCATATTACTAATCAAACATTAAGTTTTGATATATTTACGGTAGGAAGTTTACAAAATATCTTCATGGAACATGATCTTTACTTAATATCCTAATGATTTTTGGCATAAAAGAGAAATGTATAATTGTGACCCATACAATGTATTGTTGGCTATTGCTACAAATATCCCCCAGCGACTCAACACTGCTTTTGTGCTGCAGGCTCACATATGCTGCAAAATACGATTAACCTAGTGTGTGCCGTGTTCCCAAATGCATGTTTAAGTGTTCAGCAGACTGAATGCAGATGTTGAAGCGTTACCGGTGTGTCAAGCGGCTGTGTAGAGCAGAATGAGTCTGTATGAATAATGTGGCGTGTTTTTACCTGACCAGCTCCTCGTTGTAGAGTGATTTGGGCGACTCTCGGCCGAGGATATACACCTGACCCTTAAAGACAGACAGCTGCACACGACCCTCCACGCTCTCCTGAGATTTATCAATGCAGTGACGGACGAACTCACACTCCGGACTGTACCAGAACCCTGAGAGAGAGAGAGAGACAGACAGAGAGAGAGACAGAGAGAGAGAGAGAGAGAGAGAGAGAGAGAGAGAGAGAGAGAGAGAGAGAGATACTCAAAGGCCCTCCAAAATATTTCTGGTTCTTCTAATCTACAGTAATGACAAAGGTGCTAATTTTTTTATTTACAGAAACTAGGAGTGGCGGTATATTAAAATAACTGACTTAAAATAATTATAAATCATATTCATCAGGGTTCACACGCTTTATGACCAATGTCAATCATCAGATCCTCCTGTCTGCCCTCTCTTCAATGGGCATCACAGGGATTCCCATTTCTACCTGATAATATATTTTAAAGCTTAACAAAACTAGAAAAACATTACATTCATCATTATAGAAATTTCCATGACTTTCCCAAGTCTAGAAATGACTCTTTCTAAATATAAAAGAAATATAAATATGATATTAATAGAAATAATGAATATTAAAACATAAATGTAAACTTTAAAGAAATATACTAACATCTCGATTTTGACAGGTTTTAGCTTATTTCGTTTTTTGTCTTATTTTAAAGCAATGTCTTCAAACACAAGCAAACCTCAGTGTGAAACTGTTTCATTTCTACTCCCGCAGTGTGTGTAAAGATTAGATAAAGACGTCAGAAACACGTGTCCCGTCCGGTCTGATGTATTCAGGCGCACAGGTGTGTGAAGCTGCAGCAGCAGCCCGTCTCTCTGTGGTTCAGACTCTAATGAGTTTAATCTGAGGCGAGCGTCCCGCTGCTCACTCCTCTGAGGGACGGGGGCCCCGCACTCACATAACGCTTTAATTATAGGGCCTCTGTAATCAGCCGCTAATGGGCCAAATCCTATTATGAGAGAGGAGGAGCGGAGACCTGCTGCTGCTCACAACAGACAGATGAACACACCTGAGACACCGCAGACAGACAGAGAGACAGAGACAGAAAGAGACAGACAGAAAGACAGACAGACAGACGGATGGACAGATGGACAGAGAGAGACAGACAAAGAGACGGACAGACAGATGGACAGAGAGACAGACAAACAAACAGACCAACATAGAGAAGGAAGGACAGACAGATGGACAGAGAGACATACAGATGAAGAGACAGACAGACATACATACATAGAGACAGACAGAGACACAGACGTACAGACGGAGACAGACAGAGAGACAGACAGACATACATACATAATGGGTAAAGAAAACAAATTATTAATTGTCTGTGTCTTCTATTTTTGGGCCTTTGCTACTTGTTTCAGCCCCGATCAAAAACATTTTTTTTACCATCACAAAACTGATTAAGACAATGTGTAGCAAAAATAAGAACAGCATTAAAAGATTTTTTTGGAACAATCCCAATAAATCCAAATGATGGTTGTCATGACGACAGCTGCCACATGAATGATAATAGAAGAGGAAAGGCATCAATCGTGTCTGTCAGGATCCGCTGCTCAGCTTCACTCTACCCTGTAATTTACAGCGTCTGCGTCTGTCACACAGAAATGAGGGTCTCAGATGAAGATGAACGGACACCTGAAGGTCCAGCATCCGGTTATTCTTCAGAGTTCAGAGCTGACAGACGGGAATTAAGTCTTTACACAAACACACGTGCTGAAGATTGACTGTGTCCATTCTATAGGCCAGAAAATGACCGGCATCGACACCATTCAGATTAAAAACCAAAATAGGAAAACTGAGCAGTGGCTGATATTGGTAGGACCATGTCATAGCATCTCTACTAAACTCTACAGCATTGAAAACACAAGCAATGTCTGACGTTCTCTCCTTAAATATGAAGAGGTCCAGCAACAGATTAATGAGTTCATCTAAATTTCACAAAAAGCTTCCGGACGTGATTATAATATAAGTCAGACACTGAAGTGGGTGGCTGTTTTTGTCTCTTCTGAGGAAGATTCATTCACTCGTCTTGCACACAAAGAAACTTTGGCCAGATTGATTTAATGTTCATCTGATCTCATTTTGTAAGTGACTTTTCTTTCTGTTTTAAAGATGTTTTCTCTGGATTGTTTGACTACTCAAAAGAGAACATAGGAAAATATAACAAACAAAAATCTGGCTCTGAATCTCTCTTTTCTTTATTCAGAGATGATCTATAAAAATCATGGAAACTATAAAGTTCTGTTCATCCTAAAGCAGTGAAAACTGTCTCTATATTCATCCTGTGTGTCCTCTTAAGGTGTACATTTATTTTAAAAAATGAAATATAGTAAAACCACTGTTAAATTTCCTTAAGGGATCTGTATTTGTGTATACTTTCTTTCTTTCTTTGGTTTGTTTTTATAACTGTACTGCCTTAGATGTTTTCTACTGTTTAATAATAAAAATAAAGAAGTCAGAAGAAGTCCCGATCTGAATCAAATGATTTGGTATGGCCGAATTTACAACAACAGTGGTTGCATGGACATATATTAAATTTTTTGATCAAAATATATTGTGCATGTATATATAAACTAAAACTAAAAAACAACATCCACTAAAAAAACAAAAATTACATATATAGCTATTTCTTATTTTTATTTAGTTTAACATGACGTACTAAAATAACTAAAACTGAAATAAAATAAAGAAATCTATAAAAACAAAGACTATTAAAGATGACAAAAACACAACAAAATTTTAAGATTTAATTTTTACACACACACACACACACACACACACACAAATATATACTGTATATATAAAACACACATACTGCATTTAAAGTTTGTCACACAGAAACAATGAATAAGACGACCAAATAATTCTTCCATTAAAGCTGCAATTCTTTCGTTACACAAAAGCTTTCTGACTTCTGAGAGTCTTTGGAGTAAAACAATCTCCGTCCCTGGAGGCAGAAGCTCGGCTCAGACCAAACCTCTGCTGCCCAAAACAAGACTTAGCAAATTACCCACATCTCTTAAATCCTGAAAAGTGGCAATCTGATACATTAAGACTCTGTGGGATTTAGCGCAGGAGACTGAGCTTCCGTCAGGAAAATCTGATAAAAGTCTCTTCAGGTATTAAGATCCCGAGAGATGAGCGGCCTGATTTACATGCATCTTTACTCAGCTGAGATGTGGACGGTTGTGAGGTTAAATGGCTCGTGGCTTATCATTCCTGACTCCGGTGGAGTTAATGCTGCTTTAACACTTCAAAGACTGTCCTCTGAACACACACACACACACACACACACACACACACTCACACACACACACACACACACACACACACACACACAAAACACAAGCAATGTCTGACGTTCTCTCCTTAAATATGAAGAGGTCCAGCAACAGATTAATGAGTTCATCTAAATTTCACAAAAAGCTTCCGGACGTGATTATAATATAAGTCAGACACTGAAGTGGGTGGCTGTTTTTGTCTCTTCTGAGGAAGATTCATTCACTCGTCTTGCACACAAAGAAACTTTGGCCAGATTGATTTAATGTTCATCTGATCTCATTTTGTAAGTGACTTTTCTTTCTGTTTTAAAGATGTTTTCTCTGGATTGTTTGACTACTCAAAAGAGAACATAGGAAAATATAACAAACAAAAATCTGGCTCTGAATCTCTCTTTTCTTTATTCAGAGATGATCTATAAAAATCATGGAAACTATAAAGTTCTGTTCATCCTAAAGCAGTGAAAACTGTCTCTATATTCATCCTGTGTGTCCTCTTAAGGTGTACATTTATTTAAAAAAATGAAATATAGTAAAACCACTGTTAAATTTCCTTAAGGGATTTGTATTTGTGTATACTTTCTTTCTTTCTTTGGTTTGTTTTTATAACTGTACTGCCTTAGATGTTTTCTACTGTTTAATAATAAAAATAAAGAAGTCAGAAGAAGTCCCGATCTGAATCAAATGATTTGGTATGGCCGAATTTACAACAACAGTGGTTGCATGGACATATATTAAATTTTTTGATCAAAATATATTGTGCATGTATATATAAACTAAAACTAAAAAACAACATCCACTAAAAAAACAAAAATTACATATATAGCTATTTCTTATTTTTATTTAGTTTAACATGACGTACTAAAATAACTAAAACTGAAATAAAATAAAGAAATCTATAAAAACAAAGACTATTAAAGATGACAAAAACACAACAAAATTTTAAGATTTAATTTTTACACACACACACACACACACACACACAAATATATACTGTATATATAAAACACACATACTGCATTTAAAGTTTGTCACACAGAAACAATGAATAAGACGACCAAATAATTCTTCCATTAAAGCTGCAATTCCTTCGTTACACAAAAGCTTTCTGACTTCTGAGAGTCTTTGGAGTAAAACAATCTCCGTCCCTGGAGGCAGAAGCTCGGCTCAGACCAAACCTCTGCTGCCCAAAACAAGACTTAGCAAATTACCCACATCTCTTAAATCCTGAAAAGTGGCAATCTGATACATTAAGACTCTGTGGGATTTAGCGCAGGAGACTGAGCTTCCGTCAGGAAAATCTGATAAAAGTCTCTTCAGGTATTAAGATCCCGAGAGATGAGCGGCCTGATTTACATGCATCTTTACTCAGCTGAGATGTGGACGGTTGTGAGGTTAAATGGCTCGTGGCTTATCATTCCTGACTCCGGTGGAGTTAATGCTGCTTTAACACTTCAAAGACTGTCCTCTGAACACACACACACACACACACACACACACTCACACACACACACACACACACACACTCACACACACACACACTCACACACACACACACACACACACACACACACTCACACACACACACACACACACACACACACACACAC